CGAATCAGAAACAATAGTTTTTCCCGAGGCTAAACTAACCTCGAGAGGATCACAAGCATGCACGGTGCTAAAAGACAAGGCCTCCAGACAACGAGACGAAATGAAAGAATGCGTAGCACCGGTATCACACAAAGCAAAAACAGGCACATGGGATATAGAAAGCATTCCGGACATGGTACCTGCATTACGAGCGGCCTCATCATGGGTGAGGGTATAGACACGGGCCTGGCCTCCAGTCCTCTGCTGGAATGGTGGGGGCTGCTGCTGCTGCTGGTGCGGTGGTGGTGGTGGAAGCTGCTGCTGCTGAGGATAACGCTGCTGCTGCTGAGGGAACTGCTGCTGCCTCTTGGGCTCCGGACAGACACTGGCATAATGGCCTGGGCGGTTGCACTTGAAGCAGGCACGCTGATCGGCTAAGCACTCGCCGCTATGGTACTTGCCACATTTCTTGCAGGTGCGGCTGCCTGAAGAGGAATGATTGCGCCGGTCTGAACCTCCTCGCTTTCCCTTCCGGTTATCCCGGTGGGGATCTGCCTTTCTCTTACCCGAGCTAGAGCCGGGCGGTGCCGAAGAAATAGGCTGAGCATACTGGACCACAGTCTGAGACGGCTGGGAAGTGGAAAGATAGGGTGGAATGGAAACAACCGGAACGAGGCAGCTCTCCACCTCCTGAGCTCGGCTCACGGTATCAGCATAGGACATCGGTCCATGACTACCCACCAGCTCGTGAATCCTCTGGTTGAGGCCCTTGAGGAACTTCCTGGCCTTCTTAGCATCGGTATTAACCGCATCACCTGCAAAGAAGCACATACGGGTGAAGGTGCGGATGTACTCATCCACCGAGGAGCCACCTTGCTGCAAGTGGTAGAATTCGTGCTCCATCATGTCCCAGAAGCTCTGCGGAAGGAACTTGTTGCGCACCATCACTTTCATTTGTTCCCAAGTCAGAGCATGAAGCTCTGCCTCGGGCCTCCGAGCCCAAAGCTCAATCCACCAATCTGAGGCGTCTTCCTTCATCTGAAACGCCGCAAGGGACACACGCTGACGGTCGGGGAGGGGAAGTACAGCAAAGATCTTGTCCAACTCCTTCATCCACTCAAGCACAGCTGTGGGGTTCTCTGTCCCCGAGAAAGTTGGCGCATTCATGCGCTGAAACTGCACGATCAGCTGCGTGAGGTCCATGGCCGGAGGGGCCTGGTGCTGATGACGAGGAGGAGAAGGAGATGGGGATGGCTGACGATTACGATTGCGAGTATTCATGCTTCTACATTGAATAAGCCGAGCAGAGTTAGCACAGAAAACAAACCATAATACATCAGAAGTCTAGAGTTCGCCACAAACACTAGAGTTCGCTTAAATCAAGGTGGATAGATCCTAAGCCCCATAGATAACAAGTTCATCACAAGTCCATCAAGAGTAGTTTCATTACTACAAGTGCATCAATTTCATAACAAGTATTTTCATTAATACTTAAACCAAACATACCTTAAGCAGCGCGGAGTGACGGAGACGAGTGGTCATACATAAGGTCTAAACACATAATCACATATAAACCAGTCTACAGAAACGCAGACTGGCTCTGATACCAAAACTGTAACACCCCACTTTGATTTTAAAGAAATTCCGGACTTTCCATAAATCAGAATAAAATTTTCGAAATTCGTTTTCGAAATCATGGGCGTTATTCAACTTTAAACATCAACCAAGTCATATATGGTTGTTCACATGGTTTTCGTTAACCTTTCAAATCCCAACTTCACATTGCTAAACATTATAGCATGCACATGATATTCAATAAACAACTCATTAATGAATATCCAAACCA